TTGCTGTTATTTCTTGTTAACCTTATTATTGACATTATCCATCACATACATTGCTTATATTCATGTAATTGTCCACGAGGACGGTACTGATGGTCCTCCGAACCCCTAAGAGGGGGAGCCGTGTGGAGTCAGACTTCCTCTGGAGGAGTCTTGCTGTCGACCACAGATACTGGTCTCACCATTTCTTCTTTGAATAGGGTCTCAGTATCTTGATCTAGTCGGGGACGTAACTACTTGACTGCCAACAATTTTCTACGTCCGTTTAGACGTAAGCATAAACGTTCGCGAGCCAGAGCGTGATCGAAGTCTACTCAGGTGTTGCAGAAGTAGCGGAAGTCGTCTGCCAACCTTCGCCAACAATACCCAATGGCTATGTGGTCTACTTGAGTCCAGCGTTGATTCGGTGATGGAGGTCGTTGGGTTTCGCAGTGTCTCTCTTTGTCCCTAAAGTTAGTGCTGACTAGGAACAGATGATTATCTGAACAGAACGATAGAAGACGATCACCGTTTTCGGTTTGTCGGCAGGGAGCTCAATACGTACCACCTATATGCTTCTCAGTCTGGCACAATTTCCATACTTGAGCATTGAAGTAGCCTGGCAAAAAAACTATCTGAACGTTTTGCTTTTTGCGGCAAATTAGACAGCTTCTAGTGGAAGTCATCCTTTAGGTCATCCGAACTGCAGTCTATCGGGGGCGTAAGCGAAGACCATGAAAAGACAACGATGGGTAACGCGGTCCTTCCTTCTTCTGACGGACGCGTCCACACGCACCGCACAGACACAACCAACTACTGGGATCCAGTCAAGAAGTGACTTTTCTGCCCTAACACTCAGTGCTATCCCTACACCTGCGAGTCCTCACAAACTAGCTGAAAAATGTCCTGACATCCGAAAGGTGAACTTTTCAGATTCAGTCTGTGGGACAAGTGAACAACCACACCCGGGACTAGTATAGTTGTCTTCGAAACAAAACATGCATACATGACTCGACATGCCAGAGCTCTGACTAGAGATGCCTGTTGTAAAATTTAGCAATGATTCCTGACGTTAAATGCTCCAATATGAAGTTCATACAGTAAGACACGTGATGAATTACATCTACCGTAATAACATTGATTTAAAGCAAAGTGTCTACGCTTCATAGCCACAGAAGACACCAAATCACTAGCTATTCACCTAATAGCGTCGTCAAAGGTTTCCCAATTGTTTACTGTTAATTTCTACACTAGCAGGTTTTACTAATGTTAGGGGAACACAATCGCCGCATCACAACAGAAGAAAAACAGACTGATTAGAAGTGTTTATCATACAAAAGTTAGATTTTAGTTGTACAGATAATTCTGATGACTAATCCTTTGTTATTTGTCAGTACGTTTTATCTGCACACACAACACACATATACATTTCTCCAAAGCGGTCCGAAAAGTTTCAAGAAAAGCACCATTAAGTTGGGTAGCACATGTATGATCTGAATAAATAATTTTTAAAGTTATTCAGATGATTGCTCGACCACAAGTAAACTTTTTACAAACAACACATTTACAGATAGCTAAACAGTTTTAATTAAACTTTAGGGGCTTCACAGTCTACCCAGCTGGTCGACATCTAACAAATCCATGGAAGCATCGTGAAATGATAACATTATTCAGTAATAAGTTATGCAGTAATTCACAAAGCTTGAATAGTTATGTTCACACTAATAATAACGGCTTCATGACAAGTAATAACAATAGTAATAATAATAGGTATTATTATTATCACAACGAATTCATTATAACCTTGGATAGACGGCTACTAGTAATACAATCATATCAATAAAATTTACTAATTAATTTTATGAAGCAAGTGTTTACTGATCTGGTAGACTAATTGATTCTACCTGAACTCAAGATTAGTTATGAAAGAGAATGGAGACCTGGTGTCAGCCGCGTCTCATAAAACGTTAATGCCCAGCTCTTGCTATGCTCGGGCCCACGCTGTTCCTTGCAGTTTTCAGAAACGCTTAGTAATAACGGACGAAAAAACCAAAACACCAATTCCTGACTCGAGGATTCTTTATTGTTACACCAACATATAAAAATACTGTTTTTACTGGGGTCTGTGAACAAATATTACAATAATAAATCACAAGATTACTTCTGACGGTTTTGTCCTGACTTCTCTCTGAACAGCGACCGATGAGACGATGACTGTCGTATTGATGCCTCCGCGAAAATTGGGGAAGTTGGTTTTGAGCAAACAACCAAGAATTGATCGTTCAATCTTCAACTACATTGACACTCCCCGCCAAAAAATGGATCCATCCCTTTTTTACTTCACGACCAATACACGTTGACTTGGATGCCATTGCGAGAACCTGGGTCACACGGACAGAGCTGAAATGGAAAACAAACAGAAAAGCCAACACACCACAAGCATACTCACAGCACAATCTCACACATCAATGACGACCTGCGCCTTTCAGTTAAAGGCATCCTCTTGCAACACAATTGCCACTACGCGGTACGTTCGAATCTGGTGAAACTTGGGCACGTGTTTTCGCTGATATTCGCTTTTCTGTTCTGCCATATTATCACCAATAATAATGGGCAAAAGCAATAAAAAACGTGTTCTTAGGAACACTAGTAACTTAGAAAATAGCTTAAGCTTATCGAGTAACGCATTAAAACCCCTTAAATCAGCTGCAGTTAGTAGTTCACCCAATATAAACGGTTCCAACATAATGCTAACCCCTGTAATTCATGTGGAAAATATCCTATCACAAAAGGGAGAGATTACTAACTTAGCCTGCATCATAAATGACATGCAGCTACAACTAAATGAACTCAGGACGAAACTTAATCAACTTGACCAGGTACCAGAAACAATCCTCCATCTTAAAAGGGAACTGGGGGATCTCACTTTCCTAAAACTCTTTAAGCTCAGGACTAAACCTACCGATGCTGAATTGGAACATGCTAAGGAGCCAGAAAACGTTATGGACTATTTGTCGAGCGAAGTTGTTAAGAGACTTGCTTCTAAGCAGAACGCCATAGTGTACAACATACCTGACAAAGAGCCCATAAAATCGGTTCAGCACTCCTTGTTAAGAGCTGCCAACCTTCTAACTATGCACGCATTGCGGCAGGTCCCATAAAGGAGACGGAAGACGTGAATGGAAGAGCTCCTCGTAGAACTAAGAGTAGTAGACGAATTGAGGACGACAGACTGCACAAGGTGAGAACTAACGGCAAAAATAGTTCTACCCACACAAAATCACACGCCAGCAGATATGCAAGGGGCACCGAGCTGATCAAACAGCAGAGTGATACCCACGATTTCCGCAATAGCCGAGGTTGTAATATGCCTGTAGGCACATATAACCTGAGGACGGGACCCATAATCAATAATGGAAACACATGGGCTACTAGACGGGACACCACTAGGTACCATATCAACGGAAATGTTTACTCAAACCCTCGGCATAACGGGTATAGATTGGCCCCTGGTCCTTCTAGGTACACTCACGAGATGAGTCAGCAAATGTACAACTACGTAAGACCGAGCACGCACTATCCTCAAAACAACCTAAAAACAGGGTACTATGGCCCTGTAAATTACAATGTGAACAGTGAAACAGACTATTTTATGCAGAGAAAAGATCCTAGATACACACGTAATGAGGCCAGAAACGATTATATGCAACAGGATTATTTTCGGCTGCAGCAAACAATAGCCCCCCTCGCAGCACAATTTGTCCAGGGAATAGTAAACACGCTGACAATGTCTCATATGAGGATTCCTCCGAACATAACATAGGCAACCAGGAGTTAGGGATAGTAACAAGAAAACCTACTAACTATCCCAACAACCCTGGTTTTCTGAAAATTATGCTTTTAAATGCTCGATCTCTCCTTAACAAAATAACTTCCCTTCGCAGCTTGGTATACATGGAGCGGCCAACACTGATTCTGGTAACTGAAACTTGGCTTACTATTGATATACCTGACACAAAGCTGATAATTGATAACTATAACATCCACAGGAATGACAGAGTAGACAAGAGAGGAGGCGGCTGTCTAATATATGCCTCTAAATCCACTAACTCCAATACCGTTACAAACCTAACTATCGACAAACTCCCAGAATCCAAGTGGATAAGCATCCACACGAATGAAAATAACATTCTTGTGGGATGTATATACAGAGCCCCTAACAGTCCCAAAACGACTGATACGGTTATCGGAGAAATACTAGAGGTTGTACCTAAGCTGGAATTCGACTACAAACTAGTTTGTGGCGATTTCAACCTCCCTGGAGTGAACTGGGATACCTGCACTGGACCGAGAACCTACGAGGTGATCCTAGAAGCCATAGATGTAGGAGGATGGAAGCAGTGCGTGCGCCTCCCAACACGACACAACAATATTCTCGACTTAATCCTCTGTCACAAAATAGAGCCGATCTCGATAGAGGTGAGGGATAAACTCGACAACAGTGACCACAACATACTGTACTGCACCCTACCCTTACAACTAACAACTAAACACACACCTAAGAGTTCCCCGGTTTACTATCAATATAGGGACTATCGAAATGCCGACTGGGAATTCCTACCAACGCTCTTGAGAAGCTCAGACTGGGGTGAATACTTCACCAATAATAACTTAGAAGTAATACTAAATACCTTCTACAAGACAATCAGTTCGGTAAGAGACACAATCGCACCCCTGAAATCTGCCCTAAAGACACCAACTCTGTTCATAGATCGCAAAACGCGAATAAAACTAAGGAAACTAAAAAGAGATTTTATTTATACAAAGAATTTAATGCATTACACCTGATACACGAAATATTTAAAAATTTAGATGACAGACATAAAATGAAAGCACAAGTCGAGGAAAATAAAGCCCTAGAGGGCACCTCTAAAACCCAGGAACTCTGCAAAATCTTGCAAAAACGGCTGAAGAAGGGTGAAGAAAACAATATCAGTCATTTAGAACACGAAGGTATAACTTATGATGATCCCCAGATCATTAGTGAACTCCTGAGTGAGTGGTTCTCCAATAACACCAAAGCACATCCGTCCCCAATTCTCGACATAACCTGCAAAAATAACTACAAGTTAGGTGAAATAAACTTTAATATACAAAATATAGCATCGGCGGTAAGGACATTAAAAGCTAACAGTAGTTGTGGGATAGACGATATACCATCCGTCATATACAAAAACGGTGGTACGGATATGATTGTATTATTACTTAGAATATTTAATATCTCACTAGTGACCGAAACCTACCCTGAAACTTGGAAAAACACATTTATATTACCTAAGCATAAAGGAGGGGCCAAAACTAGTGCATGTAATTATAGGCCTATCAATATAACACCAGTCATATCAAGGATCATGGAGAAAGTAATCAAGGACCAAATGTCAGACTACTTTCTAAAACACAAACTCATCAACCTGTCACAACACGGATTCCTCAAGAAAAGATCTTGCGTCACTTGCCATATAGACTTTTTCAACGAAGTCACCTATAGAAGAGATAGGAGAGAGCTAGTGATTATCCTCTATTTCGATATAAGGAAAGCCTTCGACAGAGTCCCACAAAGTCTGCTAGTCGGTAGGCTATGCTCACTAGGGATACGCAACCCCCTCTACAATTGGATAAAATCATTTCTGTATGACAGGAATCAGACAACTAAAGTTGGCTCAATGACCTCCAGACCTAGACCAATCAGCAGTGGTGTCATCCAGGGGAGTGTATTGGGACCCCTTCTTTTCATTATATACATAAACAGTATATGTGAATGTTTTAGTATAGGCAAGCCAATACTGTATGCAGATGACTTGAAGGTGACATATACCTGCACAAATACAGATATCGGCCCAACTATGAACTCCATACATGAAGAATTAGCAAAAATGGATAGATGGTGTGACACGTGGAGACTTGAGTTTAATGTTGAAAAGTGTGGATGGCTCTGCATAGGCTGTTCCAACCTTGACCTCAACCTAGCAATTCAGGGCCACAAAATCCCCAGACTCAAATCTGTACTAGACCTAGGACTGAAATATTCACACAATCTATCATTTTCAGAGCATATCTCGAATCAAGTGTCGAAATCACGAAGGCTTATTGGTTTCCTACTCAGGAACTTCTACAGAAACGAGTCCAGAATACTACTGTACAAGGTATGTGTGCACCCACTCCTAGATTACTGCTCATTCATATTCAGCAGTACACGCATAGAAGACAAACTGAAAGTAGAAGGAGTACAGAGGTACTTCACGCGAAAAGTACTCGGAACCGATAACGGCACAAACTACTCTACCAGATGTGAAATACTAGGACTAGAAACATTATGGTTAAGGAGACTGCGACTAAATCTGGTACTCTTCTATAAGCTTCTTAACCAAATAGTGTATACCCCTGCTAACTATACTCGGTTCTCAGGTAACACAGGATACAACCTTAGACACACTAAAGGTACAGTGGCTATAGAGCCATGTAAAACAGCCACCAGACAAAAGTTTTTCTTGGTTAGGTATGCCCAAATATGGAACAAACTACCTGAGAAAATACGACTAGCAAGCACATTGGCCTCCTTTGAAAAGGCACTTAATGACACACTAAGTGAGTTTGTAATTGATACCAATGGTAATTCCCATGTAAGAGTTTCAGAAATCATAGGCCCATTTAATGTATGAACTCAGAGACTACACCTGTTGTTTGTTTTGTCTCTATTTATAATTCCAGACAAAAAAGCAGCAGTCATGACAATAACATCCATTAAATCAAGAGTCGATCAAACTATATCTACCTGATACAAAGGGCGAACCATAATCAACATACGAATGAAATATGAGAAAACAAGGTAGAAACTTACCACAACACCACATGAAAAGATAAAAGTTACTTGGACATCATTTATAATCCACCAACTGGTCTCCTACCCAAAAAGAATGCGGCGATGTTTTATCCAAAAAGGCGAGGAAATACATAAACCCACAGCAGCTGTTGTTAACACTCAGTGGGGGTAGGAGCCAACAAAGCACGGAGACGTTGTAGAATAAGTTATAATCCAAATCACTGCCTATACAGCGCCAATAAACCTGGATATCTATGATATAACGAAAACATGCTGAAAGCTGCATCTCAGATCAAGTTGATTCATTCGATGGTAATGATCTGCTCCTGCATGCCTTATTCGACATATTGAATGGAATGGTTCGCAAATATTCTGGTACTAGATCGAAAAGAATAAAAAATTCACCGGTTGCTGAATCAAAAGTACTTCTCTGCATGTTTAACTGTATTCTAACTGCTACGATTAATTCCAAACCATTTATCCCATAAACACTCAAATTCCAGGAACGATCCAATTCTACCATTTAAAGAAGCTGGCGAACATGCTGTAAATGTGTATTCATGATCTGAAATGAAGAAGCAACTGGTTTTCAAACAGTTTTCAACACTTTACTCAACTTACGAATACGAGATAGGATAGCGGCACAAATGGCTTATGGAGAGGCTGAGCACTTCAACGTCACTTATGCACGCTGTGATTGGTAGATTTTCCTCGGCGTAAACGTTGCGGCTAATACGTGCCTTACGTTACTGAAGCGGGCTTTGAAATAGCAATAATAAAAGCGGATAGACATTATATTTTCTAGCTTAAGGGACCAAGTTAACATGCTTATAAATTTCACAGATGTGAGAAGCATTAGATCCACTTACAAGCAGAATACTACTGGGTAACTTGATCAAAGAAATATAAAGTTTGAGGATTTTATCTCTTTCAGTTAATTGTAACGGATGGATAAGAGTCACGTGTATAATATTTGCTTTTTATAGAAGAGAAAATGTGACAGGTGGTTTGGAAGTTACACGATTCCTGAAATATATCGTGGAATATATGGACGAGTAATCAATAGAATTTCACCAACTCTGTGGTTGTTCCTTGCTTTGTTCACATATTCAGTGTTGCTAAGATTAGGAATTGTTCACAAGAGGTAAGATTAATTTACCTGATATGTATACATCCTCAGAATTTTCTCGATATGGCTGAAGGCATTCGAAGGAATACAATCTCAATCTCCGCTTGAAAAGTTCACATCTAGTTTCTGCGAACGGATCTGGTGGTGACGAAGATTGCAAAGACTGGCTCAACACCACTAACAAAGAAGGCAAACTGACACAAATGTTGCGGATAGAGTGTTTGGTGGACTTAATGATGACTATGATGCAGCTACAAATAAACTCTACAACTGATTTTTTCACTGGATTGCTATTAACTGTCTTTAGTGTAGATATGTACTCTTTCATTCTGAGTCATTTTTAACTTGATTGATTATTGTTTCCTTACAAATATATGCATTTATGTCGACTAACTTTGTCTCTTTCACTTATCATTTTGACGACATTGCAGAGCTAACGAGAATATGGTAGGCAACGTATTAATACTTATGTGAAATGCATCAGTCTTAAAATATTACTATTTCCTCAATGCATCATCAAGCCTTGCGTAAAGTGTTTCAGTTGCGTATAATATTGGTATTCGCGATTGGTAAGAAAGTAGCCGTCAAACATGTTTTCGCACTGTAATAACGAAACATAACCTAGCAAATATGGGTTCTATACGTACACGACTTGTAGTGGTTGTCTAGGCACTTCATGCGCACTATGCAACGTATATTCTATTTATCACGAATAGTCTGCTATTCTTATGTTGCTTTTAACACCACTACCTCAAAGGAAATCATTGCGTTATAAAGAGATAACTACATTACTCTTCTTGTGCTATCATTTCGTATCAATAGGCTCTTACATGATCACATTAACACTCAGACTCGTGCATTAGTTGATCACGTCACTAAATTTGATTGATTATTTTGTTATCATAAAATACTGTAACGCACTATATAGGCTTTTGTTGTGCATATCGCCTGTTTAAGGTTTACTAGCGAAAGCGATAACAGTGCCCCCATTTTGTCTACATTCAACCAGATGTAAATATGGCATTTTACCAATATTATGTCTTCTACACTAGCATCAATTTGCAACTCGACAAACAGTAACTATTATCAGTGTACGAATAAGGTGCAAAGTTTTTAAAACAATATTTATTTCGACAAATACATTCATAATATCACAAATATTTCATCAATTACACAAATATTATTCTTTTTAACCCCACTGGAATGTCTAAATGTATTGAGTGATTGCAGAATTGAAGACCATAACCTAGAAATTAAAAATGACAAAAATTCAGTCAGGAAATGATGGGCTGAATAAATAACTTGAGACACAGTACCTACTAGTTAAATGACTGCTTATTCACCGTTATCTGACGAAATTACCAACTCAGTTTCCTTTATTACTGTGAAATTTTGTAAACATAATGAAATCATAATTACCTAGATATTTAACTCTCTCCTAATCATTTACGTAAAGTACACTGGAACAATTGGAGTTATTTTGCATTTTATATCATAATTGACATTTTCCAACAAATTCTGACATTTCTTATGCACCTCAGTATGTCAATTCCATAAGAGCATAAGAGCATTTCGTAAACACATTGAAAAAGACCACTTTTCTCACTTTTTACACGTTTTTTCGTTAAAATACGATTTTTAAAGTGCATTTCTGTCGAAAAAACCAGTAAAAACAACGTAGAATAGCCCAAACACAACGCCACGATAACGCCTTAAAACTGCAGCAATCAGCTGATTTGTGCCTCTATCCTATCCCTACGAATACAGTCCGCCATGCAAACACAAATGGCGCAAATGGAGAATTCTGGAATCGACCTCGAGACCATTTGATGCAGTAAAACAACTTCACATGACCTTATCTAATTTTCGCCCCCACGATCAAATTTCTTTCTTGTTATGAAACTACGATAAGACTACTGAAAAATGGAATAAATATATCACTGATATCAACATAATACATCAATAATCTTTAAGCCAAGGGTGCTGTTCACAACAAAGTTATATAAGAGAATTGACTTCAAGCTTTATTTTTCCCAGATATCTGTAATACATTCATCTGATGTCTGGGTTTTTTGGTAATGCGAAGACAATATTTCTATATCTCTTTATGTGCTACACAAACAGACTTTATAGCAGACTGTTCCGACTGACTCTAATGTCAGAGAGAACAACCAAACTGTAAGTCCATCATACATCAAATTATGTGTAATTTATATAATAACTTATCCATGCCTGTACAATAGGTATGTTCCTGCATAAACAGGAAGGAATATATTATTATTATTAAAACAATATTTATGCATGCCTATACAATTGGTGTATCTTTCATAGCTAGGAAAAAAATGTGCCTTCTTATATTATCTTTACTAAATATGCATATAAATATTATGTGTAAATTATCGAATAGATGATGCCTGTAAACTGGCGTCCCTCATGTAAAAAATGAGAATATATATTATTATTATTTAATACTGATATAAGATTCGCTGGAAATAATAATCAAGAGATAATTGAAGTTGCATAAAGTTATCACCTCTACAAAACGTTGGATGAGTTTTGACACTCTTGCCATCTCCTTAGACTTTGGTGCCAAAAGAATTCACTGAATTCAGTAAATATATTCACTGTGCTGTAATACAGTATGTATTGTCAGTTATGTAACTGACCGAATAAATAAAGTGTTCCTGGGAAATGGGATCTTCACCGAACACTCAAATAATGCTTGAAATTACCGCAACGCTAATGAGAAACCGACCGGACACAAGCAGCACTGTCACTTGTTTATCTCACTGGTGAATAGACGAAATAACGTCCATCGATAAGCACGGGTAGAATGATAGATTTGTTGGTAGAACAAAGACTTACGAAATAATAATGGCGTATGGATTTCTCTTTGCCTGTTATTGTAATATGATGAATCAGATACTATTTGGATGCATTTGTGGCATTAAAAGTGCACTGAGACGTATAAAAATGTTCACCAGGTGAATATAATTCAACCACAGTTTCTGGAAATTTATTCTAAATCAAAGAATAGGATATATGCACTTTTTTAACTGTTATATTTTTGGAAGTGGTCAATTCAGTTGTGACCTAAGTTACTTGTAATTACTTACCGAATATATATAAGAACGCAAGTATGTACTATTGTTCATTTGCTTAAAATCATTGTGTTATGTTCACTAAGCATTGCCAACACCATTACATCATGATGTTACAAAATACTCCTACTGCCTCTACTCATCTATGTTGTCCGATGTAACGGGTACATTCCAAAGAATACTGCTTTCTTGTATATTATATTCGTGGATGCAATCTGAGCAAGCTTTTGATGAATTTATGAAGGTTATAACTAACTTAGCCATTATTTCATTGGACGTAATCAAACACATCCTACCAGATTGCTTCGAGTAGTAAAGAGGACACATCCGGCCCTATGACAAACGAGTACGTGAGGTATGAGTACACATTTGAATGTCATCATGCCGCTGGAGGTGCTGCCTCGATGAACAAAGGGTAAGTTGGCCGTGCATGTAGATTTTAAACTATTTTAGGACCAAAAGTATTTCGCGTGAGTCGAGATTTATATCACGGCATACAAAATATCAAATTGTGCATAACCAACCATGCACGGAAAGTTTCATGTCTACCGATGTAACCAGGTATAGGCCATCATCAAAGGAAATGAAAGTTGTGCAACCGTTTATCGAAAGAACATTGACGTTCAAGATATAATGGATTTAGTAAATGAGAGATTCGGTAAAAATATCCTATATGATGATATTAAAAATAGGCGGGCTAGGATAAATAAACGCAAGTCGTATCAAAATAAATGTAGCAGTAGAATAGAAATCGGTGGTTTGCAAGACCTCCTTCATCGACTGAGGCAGATAGGTCCAGTTAGTGTTTCGCATGACAATGCAGGTTTCGTAATGATATGATAGACCTCTATCATAAGTTTTCAGAAGTAGTTAGAATTGCTTGTACTTATAAAATGAATAAGATGGGGTAAGTTGCAGTACAAGAAGGTATAACTTCGCCAAATTTATTACAAATGGCCCTTGTCAGCCACGTCTCGTAAACCGTTAATGCCCAGCTCCTGCTACGCTCGAACTCACGCTGTCGCTTGAAGTTTCTCAGAAACGCTTAGTAATAACGGACGAAAAAACCAAAACACCAATTCCTGACTCGAGGATTCTTTATTGTTACACCAACATATAAAAATACTGTTTTTACTGGGGTCTGTGAACAAATATTACAATAATAAATCACAAGATTACTTCTGACGGTTTTGTCCTGACTTCTTTCTGAACAGCGACCGATGAGACGATGACTGTCGTATTGATGCCTCCGCGAAAATTGGGGAAGTTGGTTTTGAGCAAACAACCAAGAATTGATCGTTCAATCTTCAACTACATTGACACTCCCCGCCAAAAAATGGATCCATCCCTTTTTTACTTCACGACCAATACACGTTGACTTGGATGCCATTGCGAGAACCTGGGTCACACGGACAGAGCTGAAATGGAAAACAAACAGAAAAGCCAACACACCACAAGCATACTCACAGCACAATCTCACACATCAATGACGACCTGCGCCTCCAGACAGAGACCTCCTCTTGACATCTTGCAACACAATCGCCACTCGCTAGAATGACTCTTGCAGAATGCAACGTGACCATAGCACCAACTCATGATACTCTACGCACATCCTCATATCTACTCACTACCAATTACCACTGAAATCGCTTGTCACTCATTCTGCCTCAGTTCTAGTAGCGGTGACGCATGCGAGCCTCAGTCGTTTACACTCTTTCTCCCCGGCGTGTGGGACCACAGCTAACAATTATCTCCGTGTGCATTTCATTCTCAGCAATAGCCTAGCCTCCCCGGCGTATACGACCCATCTGCTGTCCTTAACATCAATCAATTCATTCACGGATGTAGGAGAGTGGACACAACTTCAGAAGTAATCACGACGAAAATTTTAACAAAATTACGCAATAACAACAAGATACGAAAAACAACAAGTAAACACAATGAATCCAAAAAACACCGCCAATTGATATGACACACCACACGTAGATACAAATAGTACAAACAACCTCGCCGATCATGTCTTGGTGGAATTCCTTTGAAGAATCTCAGGACTTACACCAGTACGCCTACAACCCTTCTCAGGTTGACGATTGTAATTTGTGGAATGTCCGGACACAAACAAGATTAACCAACAATTACAGTAATTGGAACTCACACATTTATTTAACACAAACATATTTAGAATCAACACATCAAATGTTGTGGATTCTGGCATGACGAACTTCCCTTGAAGAACTGTAGGACTTACAGCAGTACGCCTACATTCCTTCTCAGGTTGAT